TAAAAATAATTAATTTTTACATTGTTTTGTTTTTTTATTAATTATTTTTATGTTATTACATTAATATTAAACTTTAAAATTGATGGCAATTATTAATGACAATATGCAATATTTTTGCGACAAAGTCTAAATCAGAGATTATATCAAAACTTTTTACAACTTTATTAACAGTTGGTTAACAATATTTTTGATTATTTTTCTCTTTCTCTATTAAATAATAAAACGTAATGAAAAACTTAATGAAATCACTTTTACTGTTTATACAATAATTGTGATCAATAGTTATTAGTTGTGATAATTATCTTAAATTGATACCCAAAACACTCGAGTGTTTGTAAGTTTTGTATATTTGACTTATATTTTATATTTAACACTCGATTTTAAAAATTTATAAATATTTTATTATTATAAATATATTTATATATTTTAATTTAATCAATATTTTAAAGTAGTAAAATCTTTTAATGTAAGATAACATAAAGTAAATGATAGTAATAGTAAAATACGTAGGAATATCATGAGAGAAAGATCCAATAAATTATATAAAATGTAATATAAAATTAAGATCTCATTCAATCAAATACTAAATAATTTATGTCTATTTATTTAGGAATAATAATAATAAATTTTATTTAAAAATATTTAAATATTTGTGTACTGATAATATAATAGAATGATGTGAAAATATAGTTATAACAAATATTTTTATTAAATATTTTAAATACTATAATATGTAAATAAAATAAACAGTTTTAACTTAATTTTTAAAGTATTACCCTTATTAATGAGCTACCGAACCATACCTTATAGTCTATAAGCTATCAAAAAGATATAATCGGTTAGTTTGGACATTAGGTTTAGTCAATAAGGCGTAATGAATTTGTATAGTTTAAATTAAATAGCTTTAATTAATTAATTAAATAGACAGATATAGTAAATTAATGGAATATAAAAATATATCATATATATTAAAATATCGCTAAAAATATACTTTATAAATATAACACGAATTACCATTTATAATGTTTTTATATATTTAATAAATTGTAATCAATAATAAAAATAATTTCAATGACATTTAATAGCTGATATTGATGAAATAAATGCGAAACTATTATTATTGCGAAACAGATATCTAGTATAATAATGGTTATCTAAATATTTAATAAAATATTTTCGCATTGTAATTTGAATTTATTTTACAACAAATTATTATATAATAAATAATAATAATATCAAGTAAGCAAATTTTATATTTATTAAAAAATAAGAAATATTTACTTATAATGTTTTACTATAAATCAGAAAATACCAATTTTTAATTTGTAATGAAATCTTTTAATATTTTATAAAAATTATATTATGTTATGAAAGTGAAAATTATTTAAATTATTTTTTCTTATTAAGCACTTTATTATATTTTTAAAAAATCTGTCGTAAATATTATTTATAAAATTTAATTATGTTGATATTTTTTTATTTATTTTATTATATAATTTTAATAATAAAAATAATTCAAATCATTATATTTTCTTTTTAAATGAATCAATATATTGATATTATGGCATAAAAAACAAGTAATTTTCGATAAACTATGTTTTCACCGGAATATACCTGTGTGTAGCACAGGTAGTAATGTTACCGTTGTATTGTATTTTTAAATATCACTTTTAGAGTATTACTGTAGTATTATTAACAATTTTTTTATTAATCTTATATTGATGTTAAATTTAGTTGCATATAATTGAGTTAACTTACAATAATATCAAAAACTATATTTTTAACAATTTCATTTAATGTCAATTTTTTACATAGTTTTTGGTCTTAAATATCAATTATATTATATAATTTATATGTGATTTTTTAGGAATTTGATGGGAAAACCCTTTTTATATTAATGTATAATAACTTAAATTTGAAGGCTTTTAATAATACCGTCAGTAGTGACGCAAACCAATAACAGAAAGATTAACACAAAACATGTTTATAACAAATAAACTTTTAAAAATCATAATGTATTTGTATTTTTAATGTTATTTAATTGTTTTTACCATGAAGTAAAATAGATGAAAATTTACTGGAAACTTTACTTAAATATATTATAAAATTCAAAATGCACACTAAGCTATATACCTTATTATTTAGTTATTTTAATTTTTATGATTTAAAACATAGTTTAAAAATAAAAAACAGATATATAATTTAAGTTATATACCTGTTTATATAAAATTATATAAAATTTTAACATGTGCATTAATTAATTATTTTGTTTTAATATTATTATACTGTATCTACAAAAACATCTAAAATAATAACAAATATTTTGGTTTATAAAAATGTTAAACTATGTCACTGATGTCTATCACACATGTAATTATTAATCAATTATTATATTATGATAAATTCAACAATAAAATAATTTATATAAACATCAATTATTATTAGTTTTAAATTCTGTATATTACTTATCTAATAAATTGCAAATTAATTTTTATTAAATAATTTAAAATTAAAAAAAAATTATTTTAATATTTTTCATACACAGAAATAAAACAATATTTATTTTAGATTGTTTTTATTTTCAATAGTAATATTTCATAAATTAGGCTATAAATTAGTTTATTATAAATAAATTCACATATTATTTATTGTGTTGTTTTAAAAAAATGATAGTTAATAAATATAAAAAACTATAAATATATTAAAGTTATAAATAGTATTGTTTTACTACAATAATAATAAACAATCTTATTATTTATATTTGTATACATATTTGTACAGTCAATTAAATAAATTAGTTAATGTAATTATTATTATTATATTTAATTTTATTTTTAAAGTAATAAATATTTTATTTAAATAAAATATATAATAAAATAATTTAATAGTATTATTAGTATATAATTATTGAACAATATAAATAAAAATAATTTAATATGTTATTGTTATTAAATTTATTGTTATTGTATTTATTATATTAGATTTTTAAATGTGTCAAATCTTATAAATTTGCAAATTAAAAAAAATAATTACATATTAATTCAGTCTATATTTAAGTAATTAAGTTTTATTTTATTAATATTATATATATTATAAATTTACACATAAAGCAAATAAAAGTAAAATTTATTAAAATCTAGTTATACCATATATTAACAACAACAATTTGTGATCATCACATGTGGTATTAATTTTTAATTAATATATTAATTAATTAATTATTTAATTAAAATCTTTTATTTTAAAATTTTAATGAATTTAACTCAGATTTAATCATTTTTTTGAGACCATATTATAAATATTTAGTTGAAATCCTTGAAATCAAACGACAAACCATTAAAACAACTTTATTTTGCCTCAAATTTTGCTGCATTTTCCTTATCATTTGCAACACAATTACAAATACATATAATATATATATATTTTGTATTTTAATAACAATTATAATTAATATTTACAACTTTATTTAAGATTATACTAAAATATTGTCTAAAATACTTTTAAGTTCTCATATATGTTATTTAAAATAGTGAATATTAATATATAATTAATCAATAATAAAGTTTGTATTTGATGATTTTGGATATAATTTCTATAAATTACATAATTATAATCAAGTTAAATGATTTTTGAATAAATTTGTAAAAGTTTAAACAAATGTGTTTCTAAATTAAATAAAAATATATCATATATATATATATATATATATATATATACATATGGATTACCGGAGGCATAGCTATCATCTATAAAAAAAATTTGCATAACATAAAAGACATTATTAATACAATGAATTGACATTTTATACAATTTAAAAATGTTTTTAATGCTAATTGTAATGTTATTTATTATTGTTATATAATATTCAAACAATGATATAATGAGTCATTCAAAATGCATTTGTTTAGTAAAATGAATGTCTCATTAAATTTCAAGATCTTTATCATTCAAATTGGGGTTAATCTCAAACACATTCACTTTCATACAAAAAAAGCAAAACAAATCCTATATTTATTATAAACTATTATAAATTATTATAAAAATCAATATATATATATATATATATCAAATATAAAATTTTATTATAGTATATAATATGTGATTAAAAAAATAAACTAAACATATTTTTATACTTCTTAAAAGTTTATAATTGAAAACATTTTTAACTAAATATACTAATTTGTATTTTAAAAATAAAAAATTAATTGTCTTAATATGTTTATTGCTAGTTAAAAGCATTGTATTAATATATTTAAATTACAAATTATAATAATACAATTACAATACTATCAATCAATAAACTTATACAATAATTATTACAATGTCTACTGTAATCAGGGTTTTAAGAAAATAAATGCCTGCCCTGGCAATGCCCAAATAGATGCCATAAATGCCTGGCATTTTGGGCATCTATTTTATTTGCCTGCCAATTTAAATTGCTAAAAAGCAACTGTATTTATAAAAATAATGTAATTTAGTGTTTTAACGTGTTAATTAAATTTACAATTAATTTACTTATTTCCAATTATATTACCTTTTAATTAAAGGTATACAAAACAAAAATACATGCAAATATATTATAAAAACAATGTTTTATAAATTAATTAATAATATAAAATTAAAATAATAGGTGTCACCACATGAAAATAGATGCCCAGGGCATGGCAGAGGCAGGGAAGGCATTTGGCAAAATTGGCATCTATTGTTTATGCCTGCCATTTTTAAAACCCTGACTGTAATACAGTACTACTCTATAATATGTTGATTCAGTTTAAATATAATAATAAATAATAACTTATAAGACATTTATTATAAGTTTATTAGCAAAACATATTATAAAAGTTTAATTAAAAAAAATATTAAATATTAATAATGTTAATAATGTTAATACAAATTACTTGAAGTCATATTTGGCGCTAATTTTACAATAATTTATATTAAATTTTGTATTAATAAAAACAAGTGAAATGATTGCAACAAATGTTTCGTTATTTATGTGAAAAATAACTTAAAATTTGTTATTAAATATTGAAAAACGTTTCAAAAGATTGTCTCTTATTTGATGATCAAATCAAACGATTAATTGGTCTCATATTGTAATCAATATCGACATCAGTCATGTCATCGACGATCATAAAAGCTGTTCCATTGGTATCACCGAAGACGACATTAATACGTGTGAAGCGAAGGGCAGACGAGGAGAGGACAGTTGCGGCCAAACGGTGCAGATTTGTCGGAACCACTCAATCGGTTGAAGATAAAGATATTTACAGTTTGTTGTCGTCCACTAAAACACTGACACAAACTGTTTCACAGACGGAAACAAACCTAAAGATCTTTGATTACGACGAGATTTTCTCAACAAAGATCACACAATCCAATGAAAGTCTGTTTTCTTTATTTAGGAAATTGTTGTCTAAAAAAATTTTAACTAATTTTCTTTATATCTTTAATTGTTTTTATAGTCATCACATGCAATGGACAGCCATTAGATATCGTCGACAGTAGTGATAATCAAAGTGATCAATATTTGTATGATATATATGTCTATGAAAATGATGACAATCTTGAAACCGAAGAGCTTTGGAAAGACTATAGGGATTCAGACAATGATTCAAACGATGAAGACTATGCCTATAATGACTATCCGGATGAGTATGAAGTACCTGAGGATGCGATCGATTACTATGAATACAGAGACTGTGATGACAAAGATAATGATTCAGATCTGGGTTTTGGTTTACATATTACTAGTAATTCATCTGATTATGAATTAGATGACGAAAACGTTGATCCATTTGAAGCATATCGACAAAGAAATAGACATTATTGTGAAAGTGATAATCGAGATGAAGATGGAGACAATGAAGACAATGATGAAGATTATTGAAACGATTTTATTAATTATTTATTAAAAAGTTCATTGAATTGTTAATATTATTTGTATTAAATATTTTATCCATAAAAATCAATATCAGTTGTTTTTAATAGTTATGAATATGTATAGTATTGCCGTAATCTTTATTTAAACTAAACAATGTCTAATAAAATATTTAATTATATATATATATATATCAGTATATTGCAAAATTACAACAATTGCTATAACAATACAAATAATAATTAAATTTTTCATTACCCTAATTACAATTACTTAAATTTATCATTATTATGATAATTATGAAAATTGAAAATATAATTTCATTACCAGTAGTTAAGAAATTGAAAGATGACTTCAAAATTTATAAATTGGTAGATAATTACACGATTGCATAAATTAATAGTTTTTAGTTAAATTGTTAAACCAGTTATTAATAATTAGTACAATTATCTATTTACTTTAATATAGTAAATACACAGAGACATTATAGAGTACGTACAATATTAATACATTTTCAATATTAGTAATAGATTTATAATGATTTTTAATCAATTTTATTAAACCTTAATATTAAATTTTATATACTTTATAAAGTACTACAATATGTTTGAATGCTAAATGTTTTAACAAATAAAAAGATTATTATTATTAGTTAACTAAGTTTATTAATGATATACTGTAAACATTTATAACATTACAAATGTATTAATTAGATAATTCTATTTATTTATAGGAACTTGTAATTTAATTACAAATATATTTAGATTTTGTGAAAATTATATAAATTAATCATAAAAATTATTTAACCAGTATTTTAATAATAACCAATATTATAATATATTTTTATTGTATACAATACATAAAAATAGTATTATTTATAAAGCACTTATTTAGTAATACTATGATATTAAATAATGCATTAACAGTAATATTTATTTATTATACAGTAATTATAAAATATTGTAACATTTATATAAATATTAATTATAATAAGTATAAATATAATGTTTATATAACAATAACTATTACCGTAATTGTAAAGCACATTTTTAAAGTGGCTAAACTTTAAAGTTTAATAAATCAATTAATAAATATAAATAATATATCGTAATTTATAATTGATGCGTTTTGATAAAAGGCATGAGTTAAGCTCAATTATTGACTAAATTAATTAAAACAATTAAAAATTTTCTCCTAATAGATGTAACAGTAACTAAAATTGTAATAATTTCGTTATTTTTATTTGATTATAAATATATTCAATCAAATAACTAACTCTGTATTTAAATAGCTTTTGATTTATTGCCAGAATAATAAAGTTTTCGATGAAATTAAATATTTTTAAGTAACAATTTGTATAAAAATTGATTAAAATATAAATAATAGATTAATAATTTTTATTTTATATACTAAAATAATAACAAATTTATATTATATTTTATATTCTATCTAATTAATATTTAATCAATATCATAATAGTAATTTTTTTAATTCATTTTAATAAATGTTATCTAAAATGAAATCTTAAACATCATATCATACAAATAGTTATAAATTTTTAAATATACTTAATAGAGATAAAATTTGAGGCACATGTATGTGTGGTCAATGTTTCAGCTAATAAAGTGTAATTATGCTTATAAATTATATACTAATTAGCAATTAGTTATTAATAACAATGATAATAAAGTTAATCTAATTATATAATCATTTTTCTAACAAAAGACTAGAGTATTTCATCCAATTTTCTTTAAGAAAAATTTATAAATATATATAAAATTTTCAATTCAATGAATGGTCCAAAATATTTGAAAATAATTATTATCCCTGAAGTCTGTACTATTCAGACATAATATAACAATTTCTTATTAATTGTTATTTCAATTAATAAATTCAATAATGATTTTTTAAATATGAGAGGAACTTTGCCTATTAATAAAATTAATTAACAAAACAAGTAATATTTATGACAATAAATTATCCAAAATATTGTATATAATTGAAAACTGTAATCAATTGAATTAAACTCTAGAAAATATTTAATTACTTAATTAAGTGGTCCTCTAATTAGTTAATAAATAGTCATCAATGAGAAGGAATGACTTTTTGTTCGTCAATATTGAGTGAATTGCTATCAATGTTTGAATGTAATCCCTTTTGAGCCCATTTAAGGTCATCGGATCGGGGTTTGCAACCCGTCATCACCTCAACAATCACCTCCAGTGTCGACCAAAAGTGTAGTTTCTCTAATGGAAAGTTGAGCCAACCGGTCGTTATGCAAAAGTATGTTTCGTGAGGAGAGATATGATGTATTCGATGATGTTTTCGGGGAAGGATTATATGCATGTCCTACACAACTATATGTTAATTACAATATATTGTCAATTGTTTTACACTTACCTGCAGACAAATTATCCAAACAGGTAACGGACCGTAAATATGTGATAATTGATGTATCTGTAAATATAATCAATAGGTTTAATAATGGCATTCAATGTCATATATGGTGTGCTTTAATATTCAGTCAAAATGCCATTAAACGAAAACATTTAGTACTAATAAACTTTACATACAAAAAGTTCACATTATTTATCTTAAAAAATTGGTTTTAAATGTTCAGTGATCACGAAATTCAGCAATAATTCATCATAAAAAATGTTTTAAAGATTTTTTAGTTTAGTAAAGAAGTTATGCCAACAAAACAGCAAAATTGATACAAAAATATTAAAAAATCTATTGAAAGATAACTTACTTGATTAGTCATAGCGACAAATATTGCCAACAAATAGAGATAACAAATCCAGTTATAGTTTAAATAAATAATTTTATAATCATTTGAACGAAAAAAGTAAAATAAATAGATGAGTCCGGGAATAATAGCCATAAAATTATCACCATTTGTTTCAATGAAGTCGTGTCTTGTAATGGCAGTCGGATCGATGTGATGCTCACGAAATGGGCGGATAAATGCTTTGCCCACTATTGTCATCTCAACCGTACCCCACGTGTCGGCCATCCAATGGACAAAACCACTCAAAAAGTCTGCTGATATTATTCCGCAAACTTAATATAAAAATATATAATTATTATTTAAAAATGTGGTCATCTTTGGTAACCGGCTATCACTTACATGCGGCCAATACTATTGAACACCATTTGGAAGCATCGAAATAATATATCAAATATAGAAAGTCTACTAATATTAGAATTGATGCGATTATAATGCAAATAATTTCTTGATATCGTTTCCCTAAATAAATATAAGATATGAATTCAAATTATAAATGATATAATAGGTATATTTAGTAACAAAAATGTATATTTGATAAAATGTCAAATATTTTATGGGTTGAGTCAAGTCATCAAATTCTCAATCTTAATACTCGTGATATAACTGTCCTTAAGTGTGCCTCTATTTATACAGTATTATCAATTGTATGAATAACTAACATAAAGAGGCATCAAATATACAGAAAATTACTTTTTTATTCATCATTATTATTAAAAATAAAATATAATAATATTTTATGACAACAAGCGAAACACACCCAAAAGTTAGCTATAACTATAAAAACACGATTATTATATACTAAATATATTTTATTTATTTTTTGTTATATTGTACAATATTTTCAATTACATTAAATGCACTAATATAAACATAATTTTTATTTTAAGTTAAATTAATTTCATTAAATATAGATTAAAGCACAATAGATAAATTAATGTATATATACTGTACAGTATAATGAGTATAATATGAGACATTTTTTATGCAGTTATAAAAATATATTAATAAATATAAATTGTTTTTAATTATTAAAACTTTATTTTGCTAAACATATCAGCAACGAAAGCTCTTTAAACTATTAAAAGTGTTAATATTTTATAAGTTGTTTAGTTTATACATAATTTTATTATATAAATATAACATATGATTACTGGCACCAGAATTGGACGCTAAAAAAGTTTTTAGTGTCACTCCAAATATATATAAATATATCTAAATATATTGTAGTCAACATAACTTTACGCATACAGTCTATATGATAGCATATAACTGTATAGAAGTTATAACTATTTTTTAATCCTAAATAATCAGTGAATATGTGAACTAAACATAGATTCTGGCGAAGAGTTGCCACTCCTCACCACTAAAAACTCATTTCTCAAACAAATATACTTTCATTTATTTCATTACATTTTGAAAATATGTGTCATTCATTAAAACTTTAGTTACATTTCCAGAATAGATTTTTTTTATTATATTCATATTTTATATTATTTTTTTAGTTGATATTTTAATCTTTAATTTAGAAATTATATATATTAATATAAAATTTTTGAGTATTGTGGACCATAAATTTGAACATTAAACGACAGTTAATATAACAATAAAAGCAGTATTTATTTACTTTATTATTGTTTGTTATTAATTTAAGACAATTACCAGTAATTGAAAACTTAAATTAACAGAAAACACGATAATTATGCATAAGAAATGAATATTTATTATAATGCAATAAATATATAAATAGTTAAATAGTTATATTACATGCAATAAATATTTCTTTTATTACTAAATATATTAAAATAACAAATTTGAGTATTAATTAATAAAATTAATACTTCTATACTAACTTTATTGGTTAAATAATTAAATAATATTTCCAAAATGTCTATATAAATGTTAATACTGTATATACAGTATATTATATATATATATATATAGCATAATATATAAATTTATATATAATATTGCAATAAATATTAAGTATTGTTTGACAATTTCTATTAAATCAATACTTTCGAAAAATATAATAACAAATATTTATTAAATATTAAAAGATTTATTGTAAAATGTAATTTATTAAAATTATGAATAAATAAAAATACTAAATAATACTAAATAATAAATATATAAATAATAAATATATAAATAATAATAATAATAATAATAATAATAATAATAATAATAATAATAATAATAATAATAATAATAATAATAATAATAATAATAATAATAATAATAATAATAATAATAATAATAATAATAATAATAATAATAATAATAATAATAATAATAATAATAATAATAATAAGAGGAGGCACAGTGGTGTAGTGGTTAGTGTGTAGGGCTATGTAGTGTAATGGAGAGTAAGATCTATAGTTCGAGCCCCGATGTGGTAAAGCAATTTTTCTGAAAAAAAAAATTGTTTTAACTGTGCTTCCCGTCCCTGCCCAACCAACGCTGTTTAGGACGGCCAACTTAAGTAGTATGGGGAAAGCGGGGTGCTAAGTGAGGACGAGTTTCTGCCCGACCCCGGGTATCGGTACTTCGGTATCGGTACCCACCTGGGGGTACCCGCAAGGGTGCCCCCACCCGGGGGTGCCAGTAAAAAGGTGCCCCCACCCCGAAGAGACGTCCGCAAGGATGTCTCTTCACCCTTCGAGTAGTTACTCGTCCTCACACGCAATGGCCACTTTTGTTTCAAAAAATAAAAAAATCCTATTTCAACAAACACATGTTAGTGGTGAGAAATGGGTGGCAATAGACACATGTTAGTGTTGAGCTTATTCTAGGGACTGGGACCCCGTAAAAAGGCCAAAAACAAATATATATATAATTATGATTACACGTAGTCGAAGGAATAACGGGGGGTGTTCGGGAGGTACCCTCTCAAATAAATCCCGCGTTCAGCAGGTAGGCATTGACTGCAGTTCGTTAAGTATGCATCATATCCCACGCAGTGATGTGCTATGCGGGCAAAGCTGTGATGTAATGCGACCGCAGACTAGTCAACAAAATCAGACTAACCTCCAAAATGTTTCAGTTCAAGCTGGTTCTCAGCGACAACTGACCAATTTGGTTGAAAAATCGCAAAAGCGCATGAAATGGACACATGAGATGAATACCTTGATAATGCGCGAATACTACAGATCAACTCGACTCGAAACAAATATGACTGATTACAGAAACCAAATTTACTTAGCATTCAAACAGAAATATCCAGAACTAAATGTAACGGAACAAAGGATTGCAGACCAGCGGCGATTCTTAGCAAAGAATAATAAAATATCCCCAATAGAATTACAAGAAATCAAACAGCAAGTGGCACATGAACTATCATTAAATGAAACAACTGAATTAAATACCACAGTAGAAGTAGTGCCAGAAATGGAAGAGACACCTACAACAACAGATAACAGAATCAATACAAATGATGAAATAAATAGAATAACAGCAGAAAATGAACTAAAAACTTCTTTAGAACAATATAAAGACTTTGAAATAGAACTCAGACCTAAGTTACCAAAAATAAAAAGTGGCGTAAAAACAAGATCTACAATAATAACAATTAATGATATACTTAAAGATTACATCGAAGATAACATGTCGTTGAGCACAATTAATACAATAACATACTGTGCAGCAGTAGCAGTATCGAGACTCTTAGGCTACAAAATACAACACATGTCAACTACAAAACTAAATCAAGAAAATATAATACCTAAATGGCAAAAGCGAATAGAGACACGTATAGAAGGGAAAAGACAAGTAATAGGAAGAATAACGCAAGTGTTAAATGGAAACAAATCAAAAAGACTTAACCAATCATTAAAAGATATATACCGATTATTACAGACAAAACCTGGAAAACCTGAATTTGAAGCTATTATCCGGAATTACAACGACACATTAAAACAAACAGTTCAAGCACTATCACAAAGAATCAGAAGATATAAACAACAAAGCGAAAGACGAAAGCAAAATACAATGTTCTATAATAACGAAAAAATGTTCTATAGAAATCAAAACAAAATAAATTCAAGCAATATTAACCATACACCACAAATAGATGAAATAGAAAACTACTGGAAAGAAATCTGGAGCAACCCAAAGGAATATAAAGAATCTAATTGGATAAATGATATTGAAGATGAAAATAAAGAAATACCACCTATGACTTCAGTAAATATAATTAAAGATGACTTAACCGAAGCCCTCAAGAAATCCCACAATTGGAAAAGCCCAGGACAAGACAAAATACAAAACTTCTGGTACAAACACTTTACAACAGTACATCAACCAATGGCAATAGCAATGGATAAAATAATAAAAACAGGACAAACCGATGACTTCCTCACTTCCGGAATAACATATCTACTCCCAAAAACAGAAAATACATCAGATCCCAGCAAATATAGACCCATCACTTGCCTAACAACAATGTATAAAATCCTAACATCCATAATATCAACAAAAATATATAATCATTTAAGTAACAACAACATAATAGCTGAAGAACAAAAAGGCTGTATAAAACACTCAATGGGCTGTAAAGAGCAATTAACAATAGACAATATTATAACAATAAGAGCTCGTCAAAAACATAGAAATCTTGAAATGGCATACATAGACTATAAGAAAGCATTCGATTCAGTCCCACATAAATGGTTATTAAGAGTGTTAAAACTATATAAAATTGACAACCCACTGATAAACACATTAGAAAATATGATGAAAAAATGGAAAACTAAATTGTGTGTCAATACTAATAATGAAACAAAAATAAGTACAGAAATCAAAATAAATAGAGGAATATTTCAAGGAGATTCACTCAGTCCTCTGTGGTTCTGCTTAGCCATAAACCCACTGTCATCACTACTTAAAAAGCTAAAAGGCGTAAATCTAAAATCAAGTGATACAAAATATAATCTAACACATCTACTATATATGGACGACTTAAAACTATACGCCGAAAAAGAATCTGATTTAAATGCAATGTTAAAAACAACAGAAACTTTCTCCAATGATATAAATATGGAATTTGGATTAGATAAATGTGCTATAATGAAACTGAAAAGAGGAGTCTATTCTGAAAGAAATCAATACGAAACTGAAAATGGATATATAAAGGCACTAGAAAATGGAGATATATATAAGTACTTAGGAATTAAGCAAATGCATAAATCTAAAATGACAGAAGTTAAAGAAGAAATAAAGAAAACATTAAACCAAAGAATAATAAAAATACTAAAATCTCAACTAAACTCAAACAACAAATTCAAAGCAATAAACACTTGGGCTATACCTGTACTGACATACTCGTTCGGAATAATAAAATGGAGTAAAACAGAACTTGAGACAATTGAAAGACATATAAGGCGACAACTTACAATGTTTGGACTACACCACCCTAGAAGTTCTGTAGCACGACTATGTGTTAGTAGAAAACATGGGGGTAGAGGGTTACTAAACATTGTAAGCCTTGAAGCCAAACAGCGAGAATTGCTGAGAAAATACCATCAACAAAAATGCAATGTCTCAGAGCTCCACAAAATAACATCAACACTCGATTACAACTACACACCTCTAAATCTCAGCAATAATGAACATCAAATAGAAATACAAAATGAAAAAGAGAGGATTAACACATGGGCCTCAAAAGAACTTCACGGAAGATACCGGGCAGAACTCAACCAAACACACGTAGACGAAGAAATGTCTACAAAATGGTTGAAGTACGCCGGTCTTCATGGAGAGACAGAGGGGTTCATGATGGCAATACAAGATCGAGTGATTCCGACACGAAACCATCAGAAATACATCCAAAAGCTAAATATACCAACAGACAAGTGCAGGATGTGTCATATGGAGTCCGAAACAATAGAACATATACTAAATGGGTGTAAAGTACTCACAAACACCGAGTACCTAAGCCGTCACAACCAAGTAGCCAAAATCATACATCAGGAATTGGCAATAAGATTCGGACTAATTAAAGAACCATTACCATACTATAGATACGAGCCACAAAGTGTAATGGAAAGCAACAGAGCCAAGCTCTACTGGGATAAAGAAATAAGAACAGATAAAACTGTGGCCCACAACCGCCCAGATATAGTACTAGTAGACAAACATCAAGATAAGGCGTACATAATAGACATAGCGGTCCCACTAACACACAAACTACAGGACACGCATAGTGAGAAACGCCGAAAATATACAGACTTGGCCTATGAGATCAATAAGATGTGGCGCATTAAGAAAGTTGAAATCATACCTATAATCCTGTCATCAATGGCCGTAATACCGAAAAATCTGGCCCTAAGTTTGGAATCACTGGAAATCAGAAAAACTAAGATCTATGAAATGCAAAAAGCAGTGATACTTCAGAGTTGTAGAACAGTAAGAAAAGTACTAGACTTGAGTTGAGTCTAACCAGTCGTGTCTCTGCCACCAAAAGTGGCCGACACAACTGTGATCACACCGGAACAACCGTGATATACAAAAATAATAATAATAATAATAATAATAATAATAATAATAATAATAATAATAATAATAATAATAATAATAATAATAATAAATTCTATGCCAACTAATAATGAGCAGAAGTCACTATTGATAAAATAAATTAAAATCAATTTGGATCAATGTTTTTGTCATTTAGTTATTGTAATACATGAATAATGACAAATCAAAACATAAAACTATATAATCATTGCTAGAATTGATTAAATGTAAGCAATGAATAAATTACCAATTTTATTGTTTTTTCACATACTGTAGCACCGGTACATATAGACGAACCAAATGTCCAGTTTGTTCAAAAATTATTAGTATATATTTAATCAACAATTGTTTTTTTGTTTGGTTTATGTTTAAAAAATGATTTATTAAAAATATATCAAAAAACAAATCAGTAAATTAAAAATAAAATTGAAGAATATTGACTTATATAAAAATAAATGTTATATTTTATACTTATTTATTAAATTATTTTATTAAATGTCATAATTTATTATTATTATAATAAATAGATATAATCTCAATTGTAATTGTATAAACTCAATAATTTATTTATTATTTATAATATATAATATATACAACTGTCAAATTAGTTATCCGTTTCAATTTGAAACTCTATTAAGTAATATATAGTATATTATATATGACTTCAATGTTTATACGAATCATTTAACATGATCATTTTCTCTATGAGTATAATTTATTTAGTATATATACATTAATTTGTTTTGTTTAAATAGTATAGTATATAAATATTTTATTTTTTATAGACTTATTTATTTTATTCAGACATTATATAATATTTTTAAGATATTCAGTTTAAATAAATTATTTGGCAAATCTAGATATCAGTGTTAACAAGTAATATGCTTTAAAAAATATTAGTGAAACACATATTAATATATTCTATCAAATAATTAAAGAATATATTATATATTAATAATATATTTTTATTTGTTATGAATTAATTTTTGTTATAAATAATAAATAAAAAAAAATTAATTGAAAAATAAGTTTAAAAATTGATTTTTAAAAAGCAGAATCAATAGAGAATTTGTTTTGAAAGTCAAGAATATATTATTAAAAAATGATTGAAAGTATTTACCGTTAGTATAAAGTTGTGCCAATTGTTTGGCCCCCACATGATTGGGTCCCCAACGAAATTGTTTGGACTGATTATCATTGAAATCACAATCGGTGTCTTCGGGCATACATTTGTTGCCAATCATGTTATCGTTTATGCTATGGATTGGCCCGAAAGCCATCATAGGGTTGTGCAGTCACTCAATGCTAACTGTGTTTTACTAAACAGTTTCTCTCTCAGAGTGTGTCTCTACTCAACACACAATCCATAACACAAACCAATTGATTGCTCCTTCAGTGCCAACAAAAAAGTATCACAACTTTGAAGACCTTCTCATAGACGACACTACAGACTCAATACAATTCTTAACATTAATAAACTTATTGTCAAATTTATATTGTATTTACAGATATACTACACTATACAGTATATCAAATATATCAATAATTAAAATAATTTTTTTGTTATATATTATTATAAATTATATATGATATACAGTATTTATATAGTATTAATATATAGTAATTTCTTATTTATTTATAATACTTATTACTTATTAATTTATTAAGTTTTTTTGTAGTTGTCGACAAAGTTGTGACCACAAAGTAAGCAAAACTTATATATAACTTATTACTAGTGTATTGATTAATAATTTTATATACTCTATTAAATAGTTGTTATAATAGTTGCTAAAAAAAGTCAAATAGTTGTTAAAATAGTTATTTAAACTGTATTAAATAGTTGTATATAATTGCCAAAAAAGCCAAATAGTTATTGAAATAGTTATTTATTATCTTATAAATATTTCAACAGATATATAATTCACTTGTTTTCAGCATATTTACAAAAATGGTTTATATAAATAAACTAATTATTTCTATTGTTAAAAAAGTAAGATGAGTTGATAACAGTTTACAGATTTTATATAATTTATATAACTATTACTTTTTGTTTTTACATATATTTGTGCAATATTTTACAAATTAATGCTTATATTTTTCAAAATCAATGAAATAATTATTTATAAGTTTTTATAGTTTCTAACCCAACAAATAGTTATTTATAGTTATAATAAAATTTCGGAAATAGCGTCCACTGGTCAACTTCGGTGGACATACTAAGTCCCAGTTATAAGCGTTGAACCGACAAAATAATTTTTTTAGTTGGAAATCAAGACACTACTTATTACTTAAATATTTATTATTATTTATCTAAAATATATACAAGAATATGATGATAGATAAGAAATATTATACACTAATTGTAAGCTAGCATTTCCAGAACACTTATAAATAAAATTTAGGATATTATTGTATTTTTAAAAATTAATTACATAACTTATTTGTGGGTAAATAGTATGTTAGTAGTAGTTTACCGGTAAAACAAGTGTAGACAATGAAGTCTAGATTAGATTTAGTCTAAGTTTCACGTTTTGTTTTAATTTACATTAATTTAAGTTTACTTCGTTTTAATTACTGTACATTTTATTTTTAGTAATGATAATAATGTTTAAAAAATATAATAAACTTTTGGTCATTGATTTTAATTTTGAGAAACTTTTAATCAAATTAAAGTCGAGTTAAACCTAAGAATTGATGGGAATTCAAGGATATACTGTCTAAATATAAATGGTTCCCAATATTCAATCACAAGCTTAACATCAGAGTAAATATTGTTTATAACTTAGCATTTATTTTCTACATTTTATTATTTTTTATCAAAATCTAAAGTACAGTACATTCAAAAACATAAAGTGATTCATATATATATATATAGAGAGAGAGAGAGTATATATATATTTTCTTCTTTTCAATGGAATGATTATAATAATAATAATAAAATAAGATATTAAATAAACAAATAGTTTTATACTTAAAGTTTTATAAAGTAATTTGAAAATTTTCAATACTTATGTAAGAAATGACTGATTTCTACATAAATCACTTATAGTATGAAACACTTTATTAATACAACAACTTATACAATAAAACAGAAACAAATGAGATTTAATTTGTAATGTTTTTATTGTTTATAAAAAATTTGTTTCATTGAAATATTTTTTAAAATGATATAATTTTCTTGATTTTAGAGAAATTATCGGCAAAATTACGGTAAACTTATTATGTAATACTGACATCTATTGAGAATTACTTAGAACTTAATTTTACATTAAATTAGTTTTCCAAATGATATAATAAAAGAGATATTAAATATTCAAAATATATTTCGATTACTATTTAATATAATAATAAATTTATATATTAATAGTTAAAAATAATTACTTAAATCATTTACTAAATTGATAAGCTATATCTGTTATAAAATTATGTCCAGGTCATGTCCAGGTCATGTCCAGGTCATGTCCAGGTCATGTCCAGGTCATGTCCAGGTCATGTCCAGGTCATGTCCAGGTCATGTTTAGATTCAAGTTAGTTTTTGAAATGTCCCGGTTAAATCAGAAAATAATTTAGAAACATGTTATCTATTATTGAAGCACTTTATTGTTGAATAATTGACTGAAATTACCATCAGATCAAAAGTTTAGTAGAGATCTGATTGACTTTCCCGGTAAACATTGATGTAATATGGCTTCTCTGTCATCGATAAACTAAACACGAAAACCAATGAATATAAAATAATTTAATATCAATTAATATTATTTCATGCATTTATTTCACTATTATATGTATGTATAAATTAATTTCAATATTTACAATATCTCAAATTTAAATATTGTTTATTAAATACAACCCCGTTTTACTATAATATAAATATTTTTGTTTAAAAATAATATACTCATATTAATATAATAAAATATTTTATGCAATTATTTGTTTTATTAATATATAAATTATATTTTAATATATTATTGAAATTTTAACATAATAATATAAAAATATAGACTATAATAATAGTTATATTAAAAATTTTATAGACAGTACTAATCTCTAGGATTTTATTTTATAAACAGATGCTATCAAATGAGATCTCATTTACATTAAATTGTATCAATCGGTATGACTGTTAAGTTATAGTGAAAGTCAATAAATTGAAAGTTTTGTGTAAAGAGGGACACATAGAGAGAGAGAGAGAGAGAGAGAGAGAGAGAGAGAGAGAGAGAGAGAGAGAGAGAGAGAGAGAGAGCACTGATATGAATGAGTGGTGGGGACGACAATACGGTCAATAGAATCGATGTATTAATAATTTGAAAGTATAATTGAAGGGATGACACAACACCTCAATATGTGGACTCATAAGTGTTGCTAAAGTCGACTGACGTATGCATTGAGTGGCGGTTTATGAGTGATAGTGATATTAGATCTGGTTTTTGGCAATAATTGAGTTTCTGTTGACAACTGTAGTCCTAAAAACCAATATATTGTGTTATAATTTGATTTTTTGATGTGAAACATACCGAATGACGATATGTTGTATGAATTGTTAGACTTTACTGTCATCTCATGTTAAACATTGTCTGACCTCACCATCACTTGCATTGAAAAGCATTAAAATTCATGAATGAGACCAATGACTGGCACTACTTTCACATCGGATGATAAAGTAAGCACTTCTGCAAACTCACTGCAAACATACCATTCATTGAATGCCAGTCTTTATCATCTTTGACTGCATTCAACTCACATAATGTTTGGCTTAATGTAAAATCTGATGCTTTTCTCATTCAAAGCAAACATTTACACTTATTTTTCAATCTAACTGTCCGTTTGTTAAGATGATGACAAACATCCGTAGTATTGGAGAAAAAGAAAGAAAGAAAGAGAGAGAGAGAGAGAGAGAGAGAGTTGTATGAAATAAAGTTTGTGTTGAATTAGTCGTTTGTATATAAAAAGGGACAATAAAATTGTTTAATATTAATAAATTAATGCTATAATATCTAAGCTTTAGTTTATTTACAAAATACAATATTAAAGTGCATGTAATGTATGAGACCATTACCAATAGTGAACCGGATTATTGCTTATATAGATAGCAATAACCGTAATTCAAAACAATGACATCGACACCAAACAGTGAGAGGGATGTACTGATCAGTGATATTGTTGGTACTGTTGGCACAGGGAGTGCATGTATTAGACATAGACTGATGTGATATACGATTATATTATGGCGTTATCTCTATCGTTGGCACTGGAGATTCATAACTAAAAGCCAGTTATTGCACTGTTTTAGTAGATTTAATGTGCGATAAGAGGGAAAAGTCATTTAATGGAGTTATACACCACTACTACCCCTCGCAAAGCAATGCATTTATTTTATTAAATCTTAAGTCAAGTCTATTATGTAACAGGAATTCGGGCTAAATATGACTCGTGTTGTAATCGATGTCGAGTTGTGTCTCATATAAGCCAAAGAACAAGAATTTTATTAGAAATTCTGGTCTTTTCAATGAATGTTATGAATGTGCCATCAATTGACTAATACATACCTAAACCAGTGCTAAACATATACACATTCAGCACACATAACATATAGACTCCAATGTACTGTACTCTCCCTTTTCCACTCCTGTCCGTCTTTTTCTCATTCATTCATTAATTTATTTGCTTATATGTCTCAAATAAACGTGTTATGAATTGACAATTAGTTAAAAAGCATTATATTTTTAATGTAATATAAATTTACATAATTTTTTCAGTAGTTTCATCTTTGGATTTCAAATAATTTTCGTATTATTTTAATGTACTTTTATAGTGATATAAGTCTTTATAAAATTTTAATTTTAATTTATATATTTTATTTTTATATAATGTATTTTTTATTTTACATGTTGTTTAGTTTAAAAAATTTATTAGATTTATATTAAAAAATATTTGCATAATATACACAATAATTTAATTTACAATGACATAAAACAAACTTTATAATAAATTTTAAAGCAACAAAAAATTATAAATATTAATTTTATGTAGAATTTATAATATATTAAATCTAAATATTATTTTTAAAACAATTTCTAAAAAAAATTATTTGATAAATATATAAATCAAAAATAGTTTAAATTGAACTTTGAATCGAATAGTATAAAAAATATGAAATATTTTAGTAATATATAAAATTTATTTAAAAAAAATTTGTAACATAAAAATTAAAATTATAATATTAAATATAATAAATATTTTAATTCTAATTTAAATAATAAGTTTTATAATAAAGGAAATTATTAAAAATGATTGAAAAACAAGTTATTAATGTTGTTATGAGATGGCAGATGTGACTTCAAATATGTTAATATTATTTTAAAACTACAGAAAAATACTAAATTTGAAAAATTAGTTGTG